GGAGCCGAGGCTGCGGGTGGTGGCACTGCTGTCGCTGTCGGTGCCATTGTTGGTGTTTGTGATCGGAGGACGGCCGCGAGGGCGGGGTTTAAGGCTGCCAGGCTGCCAGCGGCAGAGGGAGCCGGAACAGGAATTCCAGCTGCTACCGGTGGCACAGCCGGTGGTGGTATCATCGGCGTCGCGATGGGAGGCTGTGGCGTGCTCGTCTGCGATGGTGTAGGGGTGGCAGACTTTCGGGTAGCACCAGCCAGTAAGGCGGCGAGAGCGCCTTGTCCGAACAAAGAGTCTAGCGACAGGGCACCTCCGGCGCCTGGAGCAGCTCCCGGACCCGGCACGGCCATGGCAGAAGCAGGACGTCCAACCCCGGGTACTTGAGGAGGAGGAGGAACAACAGCACCGGGGATGACCGGAGGTGTTGGGGTAGCGGTGTATGGAACGGGATTGTAATGGTGAGGAGGGGCGGCGACGGGAACTACGCCAGCAGCGGCAGTAGCAACGCTGCTGCGCATGTTTACGGACAGTTCAGTGATCTTTTCTTTCACGAGCATTAACTGCTCCTGCGGCACATCTGGCCTCTGAATCAAGGTCTGCAGATCCAGCAAGGCCTTCAGTCTAGTTTGTTTACCTACGTCCAGCGGATCCCGCGCAAACTCGGCCCTCTCTGCAACGATGAGCTGCTGGATATCGTCTCTTAACCTCTCTATGCTTATACCCTGATGAGGAGGAGCCTGGGGCTGGTGATAAGGAGCTCCATATGGAGACTGGGTGGTAGCGCGAGGAAGGAGTACATCGGGCCCCTGGGAGTGTTGTTAGTATACATGTACAACAAAAGACATGGAACCAGGGAGACGGGGCACATACATTGTGAGGGCGCATAGGGAAGGCCGGGTTTCCTCCGTGCGGCGGCATATGTCCGTTAGGGGGCGGATATTGCTGTCCTGGTTGTTGTGTCGCTGGCCGGACATTGGGGAGGAGTGGGCGTATCTCTGTGAGGAGGGGCTGGAGGACGGGCTCCGCGGAGCATATACTGCTGCCCTTGAAAACTGCTCTGGTTGACCTGAAGGGCAACATTCTTGGCCGCGATCAAGGCGTTCTCAATCGGCTTGACCACCTCGGGAGGGAACACGGGCTTGTTGCCTAACGCGCCCGCCACTGGCTCCTTCCAGGTCTTCAGCATCTCGTCCATCTTGCGTCTGGTTGGAGTGTCGACTTTGGTATAGGCGCCCATGAAGATGGAGTAGAGCTTAGGCCCGAAGTAGAGGGCATATGGTGTCGGGGCATTCTTGACGATCGAGTCGAGCACATAGAGGGCCGGTAGTGTTCGTGTAGGTGGGACCTGGTTGAAGTATTAGACATGTTTTTGAGGTGTATCTCATGGGTCTCTTGGGCTAGATTCATGGTGGTGAATAGGTGGCGTACCTTTTTGATGTGGTTTGTCAAGACATCAGCAATGGCCAGACCATGAATGGCGTTTTCTCGCGCAATATTCGTCAAAGTCGCGATCTCTATCCTTGAGTTTACGGTCAAGTCCTCCAGGGCTTGCCGGTAGTCCTCAGCAACATCAGCGGCCGCGTCGGTGGTCATTGTTGAAAGCGTCAACTGATGCCAGGTAGTAACCGCAGACGTGGAACAAGGAGAGACAGACTCAAGGTCGCGTCACTAATGATAGACCCTTAAAATGATTCTTGGTTTTTGTGTGTTTGTCGCAGTAGACTGCTTGCGCGGAAAGGGAATGAATGCACCACCACACACACACAGAGATATGCTCAAACTGGCCCAAGTCTTTTTCTCCTGGTCTTCAAGTTCGAAGACGGCAGAGGCAGATAGTTTATCTTCTACCAGAAGTCACGACTTGATCAATTTGTGCCTTGTCTTGTTCTCTGTGTTGTCCTTGCTTCTTCAAGCGCAATCCTCCACGGCCTGCCTCTATTTTGATGTGTCACCCCGACCACGATCGACGCACCATTCGAAGCGTGCTTCTTGTAGTCAACGGTCGCCGGTATACAATACTCCAGATGGCTGCCAGACAGAGGCGACAAGTCGCAAATGTGGCGCAAAGATAACAGCAAGAAAAAGCGGAGGATCAGAAGACGGGACCGTCAAATGGATGGGCTGAGCTGGCGAGAGTGGTTTGGTGGTGATGGGCAGGCGAATGTTGCTGAACTGGCGATTCCTTGAGGCGTCAATTCGGAGAGGTCTTTGTCCTCTTGGTTGTCCGGGTGGATTGTCAAGAGAACAATTGCAGACCAGACACTTGTCGCGATTTATGTACGATTTTCTTGTATTCACAATTTGCGAGCTGCAAAAGTGGAAGGAGGGCGGGAAAGATTGGTGACGAGAAGAAGTCGCTCCTCCCGTCCTCGCAATCCAGGTTGCTTTGTCTGCAAAGGGTGGACACTGGTGACTGGAGCCCACACAAGATGGAAGTGCGTGAATGATCAAGGTACGTACCGCTAGCCTGCCGCGACACGAGTGCATATCTTATCAGTATGCACAGACCACCCTTGTGCCTCTGTTTCACCCGCAAGCTGAATCCCCCGTCACATCCATCACAAGTTCACTGGGGACAATCCATCTTCCATCATCACGGCTCTCTGGGCCGGCACTTCTGGCTACTAGGTCACGAACTGAATCGAGTAAAACTTGATTGATTCAGATAAAATATTGCTTCATGCATTTCTCCATTCAACGAGTACATGGCGATTACCCATCTTCAGATATTGCTGCCCTCGATGTCGGACATTATCAGCCTTCACTTCTTGTAAGTCTTGTCGATCTCTCCCGAAACTGAACCATTAACCATGCATTCCTCGTGAAGGCACCTTAGCCAAAAATACAAAAACGCCTTGACCATATGCAGATATCTCATACTTTGGGTATTTCGAAAAGAAAAGGAAAGGAAAAGAACAAGAAAAAGAAAAGAAATGCTGGCTATCTTCAGAAGTTGTCCTGTCGTCCATCACTCATTATACTACCCATGCTCCCTTAGCCCATGCCCAACAGACCCGATTAGAACCGGGACATGTTCGCATCGCTGTACAGACTCGGGCTCCTCCTGCCACCGTTGTAGTAAGGGTGTAGCACAGTCGGTGGCCTCTGGACGTTCGGCGAGACGGGGCTGGAGCGGTCATTCTGAGGCGGAGGGCTGTTGTTTCTTCCCGCACTGCCCGTGTTAATAGGGAAGCGTCCGCCACTGTTTCTGCGGTTGCTGCGGAAGCTGTCGCCGCGCTCGAGGTCGACATTGGCATGATCACCAGATCGCTTGCTGTCCGTGCTGTTCATCTGAGGAGTGGGCGCCACCACGCCAACGCTGGGGATGGGGTCGCTGATGACGGGGAACCTGCCGGACTTGCGGAAGTTCTTGGGGAACGCGGCCTTGGTCCACCTGTGCGCCCGCGCCTTGAAAGTGGTGTCCAGCTCCGGCTGCTCCTGCTCTTGGACCGGGGGGTAGTAGTGGTTGTTCACGGCCGGTGGCAGATCCTCGGGGTAGCTGCCCTGGCTGGTGCTGTAGTAGTCCGGGAATGGGTCCTGCTTCTCGATGATGCCCTTAGCTTGGTCACCGTGGCTGCGGATCATTCTGGCCGTGATTCGTCGACGGATCTTGCCTTCGCCTTCGGAAGTGTTGAAGATGAGCGAAGCGACGACGTTGAAGACGCCGAAGGTGAGGGAGAGGATGCCCGTGGCGAGTACGAGGCGCCACATGGCAAGTCCGAGGTTGTCCATGGAGTAGGCCGGCTTGACGAGATCGCCCATGATGGCGCAGCCCATGACGACCATGGCCAGACCGAGCCATACCAGCGAATGACTTGGGCAGAGGACGGGCCAGTTCCTGGCAAAGAAAGCCCTGAAGGACCTGATGTTCAACTCGGAGATGAAGAGAAAGATGGCGACGGCGAAGACGAAGAAGTGCGAAGCCGAGTCGAAGAAGTCGAAGCGTCCACCAAGGCCGGAGAGGACAATCATGATCCAAGAGGACGTCATGGTCATGGCGAGGCCAATGAGGGTGAGAGCTCGAAGTCCATTGAGGACTAGGTAGCCGGTGCCTTTGATCGTGGGAAGCATCTTGGGATCCTCGTATTCGAGTGCTGATTCTGGGTTCGGGTCAGTCCTGTCCGGTACAGGATACTGGTGCTCGTCGTCATGCTGGTGCTCGTGCTCGTGCATATTGACTCACAATGAATGGTTCTATGAGACCGTTATCGTAGCCTCTGACCTGCAGACTGCTATATCTTGTGCTTGTTTTTCTTCTAAAGACGGATCTGACTGGCAGATGTTGGTGATGATCGTCTTTCTCTGTCCAAGAGTAGGGAGGAAGAATCCGGGGGAAGAGGCAAAGGCAAGGAAAGGCGTAAAAAGTAAGTAGAGACCGTGGAAGTCTGGATTCTATCGAGGATTTATGTAACAATAAGAAATGAATGGCTAAGGATGGCTCAAGGCCATTGTCTCCCAGGGACAATAGGGCTACGAGTGGTTGAATAAAGGGAGCGAGTTGTTCATACAGATGAATGGGGAGTAGGTGGGCCACATGCAAAGCACACAATGGGGAGCCGACTGATATATCGGACGGCAGAGGAGTGACGCACCCGCTCTTACAAGGCAATGTTCCGTCGAACAATAGGGATTGATGAAAGATTGACGGCCCGGCACATGAATAGGAATAGAGACGGCAAGGGTCTGGGTCTCTGGTGTTTCGCATGGGTCTCGTTTTTCGAAGGAACTCTCATGGCCAATGAAGCAGTAGGCGCTCAAGGAGTCAAGTCGTCCCACTTGGGATTCAAGTAATTCTGGACTGAACTGAACGCGAGGACCCGTGGGATAAGGCTTAACAGACCAGTCAGATTCGCTTGCCGCGAAGTTTCTTTTTTCCTCTCATCCCCATCCATTTTCCCCAGATATCTGGCGAGCTAGGAATGGCTCCACGGCCTCGACGTTTGAGCCAGTCAGTAAACGCAAGGCGGCTCCCACAGCGCATAAAAAAGACGTGCAGATCAACTCCTATCCAATGCCCCTGCAGCCGCCTCTTTGAAGCGAGCATGTTTGCAGGGGATTCCGTTAAGTGGTTACCGGGGTTGATTTGGACAGTGACTAGGACGCATCTTCAAGTTGGGGTGAACTCACCGGGTCGATTGGTTGACGATCTTCGAGGCCTGTTTCAGGTATGGCCGTGGCCTTGGTACCTTATTGTAACAAAGTCCATGTGGAAATGCCTGCTCCTTGTGCCCAAGCAAACGCTCCAGAATAGTAGCTTTGATTTGGAAAACAGATGCGGAATGTCAAAAATCGATGTGTAGTTTTGTGGGTTGTTAATTGTAGACAGTCATGTCAGGTCTGATCCGGCTTCTTTGGATTTTGCGACTGATGGACAGAGAAACAATCCATGGATCAACGACGCATCACCAATGTGCGTGCGTTCGGGTACTGCCGAGGTGGCGCTAAAAACAATGACTGCTCAAGGTGGATCCTCTCTTTGGGCGTTCCTGATCATCCAAGACAGAACCAGCAAAATGAGATATCAAGAGATAAAACTTCAAAAGTCAAAGCCAACAAACCTTTTAGATGTCTCTACACAAGACAGTCAATGTGTCGACAACACCTCGTGAGTTGTGACTGCTCTTGATTCTGCCGTGTCTCTCTTTCTTCCACTAGTGGTCTGTGCTTGACAACCACCACTACCCAGCGGTATCGGACCTTCTCAGTAACTCCGGTCAAACATCAGACACGTTTTCGTGAAATAAACAAATCGAGTCTTCTTGTTGTTAACATTCAGGATATTCAAAGGACTGTCGAGAGAAACAACAAACCCACGGAGCACAAAAAGCCGAGAATATGACTGATCCCCCGACTTCCCGCTTTCAGTTCCCCCGCGCTTACACCGATCAATGACCCACTGGGCCAGATCCCTGGCGCAGAGATGCCAGAACGCAGTGGTGTTCTTTGCAAAGCTGAAAATTTGATTGGCCACCAGGTCGCGCCTTGACCACCAGCCCAGCAACTGCCCGTCCGCTTCCCGCCGAAGCGCCTAGAAACTCGGGCTCTTGAGTGGGTCCAGTGGCTCCCTCACCTCTCAGCTTCGCGCACCTCAATCAATGCAGCGGGCTTGCCTCTCCCCCCCCGTGTTCGAAACGTCAGCCAAACCTTTTTTTTTTTGAAGTCTCGATTCTCCTGACGACCCACACGCCAGTTTTCCCAGCTACTCCTCAACCCGCGATCTCCCAGGGAGCACAACAACCGCCCGACCGGGTCTACGGACTTTTGAAACGCTCCTTAATTCTATTCTTCGACCTCGCCCTGCGTTTACCCGCACGCGCTACTTACCGCGTCTAATTTCTTCGCTTCGTCATCCTCTTACCGCCAACCACCAAACACCATGTCTCGCGGCAACCAGAGAGAGAAGGCCCGTGAGGCCAATCTCAAGAAGCAGGCTGCTCAGGTATGTTTTGTCAACGTCGAAGGATGACATCAGTCGAGAGCTTTTGCTAATGTCCGCCTTTTCCCCTGCAACAGAAGAAGGTCAACAACAAGAGCGGTACTGAGATGCAGCGCGACAAGGAGGCTGTCGCCGCCCTCATGAGGGCAAAGCAGGCGGCGGGTATGTCCTATCCCTTGACTTTCCATGCTATCCACCGCCAGTTACGGCGCGAAACCATAATCCCCTCGATTATCAATATTATCGCATCGACAACTCCCGTCTTAATCCCTTTGCTAACTGATCCTTCTACCATATAGCCGACGCGAAGAGGGCTGCCGAGGCTGCCAAGAAGAAGTAAATTGCCATCTCAGAAAACCCAACTACTTGCGTGGTTGGAGGAGATCCGAATCTGATCAACGGGAACTCGTCTATCTCGATGCGCGATTATCTCTATCCACCTCATACCCATCAACATAACGGATGGACGGACGAACGAACGAACGAACGAAGGAGAAGCTACCTCCATAGTCTACAGCTACTATGAGCAGCTCCGGAACTGCCCCCGTGTTTTATCAAACCGGGACCGGTCTTTCCATCCATCCATCTTTATATCATTCGGAGTGTTTTACGGCGTCACAGACCAGGAAGGAAGACTTGGGGAGTATCTTGAATTTTTGGAGCAAAGCTTGGGCATTCATGGCGTGAGCGTGGGAATATCATCTTGAATTGACACATTTTCTTGGAAGCATTCTCAACCTCGGATCGCTCTTCTCTGTGTGCGCCGATGTGCTCCGTCGGCTTTGGTTTTCCCTACCACTGTTTTGCATACGTACAACTGGCTTGACAGTTTTGTTTGCTTGTTTTCGCTGACCTGACTAGGTATCGCAGTTCCTTTGTTGATTGCTACGGCATTCGAGCAACAAAGGTAAGAACAAAGGAGGGACAACATTGGGGAAATAAAGATTTATTAATGTGAAACGCTCCCAGCGACATCCAGAAATACGACCCAGTCATATGCGTCCAACCAAGCAAAAGGCTGACCCTTTACCGCTTTATACGGGAACTGATAACACATGCCAACTTGCCGCGGAGAAGGCGTGCATGGTGACAAGATCAGCACGGTCAGGCAAAGCTAAAATATACAAGTAGCATCGTGGATACTACAGAAAAAGAACATAGTATTCCCTTCTCTATCGCTGACTTTGTCAGAAACACCCCCAAGCATCAGATGCTCACACCCAAGGTGTTTCCTTAGGCAGGAGCAGGAGCACCAAGAGCCATGGCTCTAGGAATCGAACCTTGGATGGGGTCAGCTTTATAGTCAATGAACGCAAGATGCAGGACGAACTACTCACCACCAACACCACCAAAGGCATTCACACCCTGGGCCGCAATATTAGGGAAGGAACCGGCAGCGCAAGCGACAGCGCACACGCACGAGCCATCGGCGTTGACCTGGCCGACACCAGTCACGATGTTTCCAGTTGCTTGGGCAGCTCCACCAGCGACGGCTGTGGCACCGCCGCCGCCAACGGTCGCAGAAGGAGCTGCGGGAGGAGCAGCGGAAGCGGTACCGCCGGTGATGCCACTGTCGGTGCCGGTGCCATTCTGCGCAATAGCCTGGGCTTGGAACTGAGCATGGGTCTTCTCGGGGGTAGGGTTGATGGAGAAGACCATGCCCTTGCCGCAGTGGTTTCCTTGCTTGCAGTAGAACCCTAGGATGATGGTGTTAGCAAGGCGAGTCGGCCAAATTAATGGGAGGAACGAGGGATGAGGGCAACATACAGAGGGGAGTGTCAACCATGACCTGCATAGCAACCTGCGGCGGAGGGTTGACGGTGTTGTTGACATTGGCCTGGAAACCCGAGTCCATGCCGCCCGGGAGCGCCACGCAGGGGGTATCAAAGGCCGATTGCGTCACGGTGTGGTTTTGGCTGAGGAAGGTGAAGATGACGGTGTCGCCCACGGCCGCCTGCGTCTGCGCCGGGCTGAAGGCCAAACCCTGCGGTCCGCCGACCGTGACGGTGTGCGTGGAGGCGGCTCCTCCTACCGGGGCAGCGACGCCAGCGGGCTCGGTGGGAGTCGCAGGAGCGGCGGGTGGTACGTCGGCAGCAGGGGGCGCCGTCGCTTCCCCACCAGCAGCACCATTGACCACCGTCACGGCTTGCGTGGCGGTCACGGTGACGGTCTTGGCCGAGTTAATGATGGTGGTGACGGAACCGCCACCTAGGTTGACCCAGAGCAGGTTGAGCTGAGCGTTGAGGCCTGCGGTGAGACCGATGAGCTTGGCGAGATCGGCAATCTCCTTCTCTGTTGCCTTGTGCGAGTTTTTCTTGTTGTTATCATTGGCATCGGCGTTCTTGTTGTCATTGCCCTTGTCGCGGACCTCAAGGGCGATGTCTCCCCGGCGAACGTCGGGGTAAACGTTGTGAGCGACCTTTCCGAGTGCGACGGGGGCCAGGCTCAAGGCGGCCAAAACTGCTGTCGTGACCTTCATCTTGGGTATCTGATTGTATGCTTCTTGTGGTTTTCCTTCTCGGTGAACTTCTTGTTCCCCTTACTTCTTGCGAGTGAGACGAGTATTTGTCGGTTTATCCGTAAGAAATTCGTCTGTGATGCCCTATCGACCAGGAAGGGGATGCGTTGGAAGTGTGAATATGAATGGCAAGTAGTCCGGATATTATGTCGTACGTAAAACAATTGTAGCGAGTCCCTGCTCGTTTGGTGTTGATAGTATGTAAAGAAGCGAAGGTTGCAACAGCAAGAAGAACGAGAGAGAAAAAAACAAATGAGTGGAATAGACACACACCCAAAGAGAGAGAAAGAGAGGGAGAGAGAGAGAGAGAGAGAAGAAAACAATGGATGAAGAAGAGAAGAAGAAAGGAAAAAGAGGAACAGGAACAGGAAACAAGTCCCTACTTGAGGTTTTTCCGTTTCGAAGTTTCGGATCCCACGATTTCCGGGGATGCCAGCATGAATGATCGTAGCAAGGGAAGCAGCCCTTGCTTCCATCTCGGTCACATTGACATTTCGGCATCCGGGGCTTACCCAGTGGCCAGAAAAAAAGGAGGCCGTCACGAAACGTTTCCCAGGGATTGTGGACGTGACGGAGGCGTTGGGACAATGACACTTTTCCCTTGGCTGCTACCTATAGCAGTACTCGGCGTTCTTGGACATCCCCAAGCTGGGGGGGCCTGGGGATAGCTCTCGGTTCATTTTGTTTCCACTAATCCCCGGAACCTGGGCTATTGTCTGAATTCCTTTATGGTTCGGTGGAAAGTTACGGTATAGCTCAGCCTCGATTTCTGGGGACCGAGAACGGGAAGGGGAGAGATGCAGGAGGTGTCTCCTGGGTGTTCTGTGACAGATTCGTCTCAGAGCGTGTTTTGGCTTTTAGGATGCTTCTCTGGGCGAGCGCTTTGACACTGGGCGATAGGGAGGTACTTGGCTTGTTCAAGAAACATTGAGACTCTGAAGGAATTACCATGATGAAAGACTCGAATGAAATAAGATTGCAACCTACAAGAGCTTACCTCTATCCTAGCAAAATTTAATGCGATTTCAGCGCGAATAAAGATACTTCTGAGGAGTGAATCATGTCGATAAAGTCTCGCACTATCTACTAGCAACCGAACTGCAAGGGTCGATGTGGTATCTGTAACGGGCAACCGATTGGAACCCTACGCGCTTAGCTCTCCCCTTTCAAGACTCTGGGAAAAGACACAAGGAGCCCCTAACAGGCTTTCCAGATGACCTTGATGTCCAGGCATTTTTGGGATTCTTTTTTTTCTTCGTTTGGAACTCTGGTGTTGCTGTGTACATAGTAAGCGGTGAGTAAATGCCTAACCGAGAACCTTGATGTCCGTTCCCTTCTTGGCGATACCAAGTCAAACTGGTCATCTTTATGTTGATACGCTCCAATCGAACCATCAATGGCTGGCAGCATGTACCTGTATGTTATGGAGTTCACACTATCCTAAGGAGACCAAGACGAAAAGGCACACTTGAGGTCGTAAAGCAACTCACGGATGTTCCTTGGGCCGGTCGGAGGTAACTTGGCTCACTTGGCTAGGCGGGTTGACAGAGTAGAATAAGTAGCGGATGTGCTATCGCGGCTCATATCACGCTCGGCGATGTTGCATGCCCCTTGATGAACAGATTGGACTTGGAATAGAGTGTGATATGAATACGTATTACATCATTTATGTAGTAAGAGGTTGAAGCATCGGTCTTCCACGAAAGGTACCTGCCTAATCAAACGTCTTGTGTGTCCTAGAGGCACATTCGGCGCAGACTTACTTTTCAATACTCACTTGCTTGACTTGACCATGGAGAAACCGGAGACAAACAAGACGGGCGGGCGAAGAGCGTTTCTCTTCAACCTGATAATGCAAGACCAGAAAAGCAAGGGCATCGGTATCAGGAACACCGTCCAGTCCGGTTTGGGCACGGAGTCGTTGATGATGGAACACAGACCGTCGCAAGTGGTTACCTTCGGTA